GCAGCAAAGTCACCATAATGAGAGATAGCTTCAACACACAGGTGCTTCAGTTGCTGATGTGTTCTCATACACCAATATGTGTGCTAGGGCAACATCTTTAACATGAAACAGATCCCATAAGATATCTTCATAAATGTCGGTGCAGCCTGCAGCCAAGGCAAATGTCAATACAGGTTTCATGGTTAGGAAACAAACCTTGGACTATTTAATTTGATAAACTTAACTTTATGTTTGTGGCAACCGAAAACAGATGATAAATACGAATTTGAATTTACTGAGCATCTCCAGGCTGCAATTATGGGAGATTAGGCAATGAAGAGGTTGAGAGTAGAGTGGCAAGGGTGCAAGGCACAACAGGAAAAACCTATTCGAGGCAAGAAGCTTACACTTGGTTAAAAGTAATTTTATAGGCACTTCCTTTAGCACGGGGGTATTGGATATGCGTCCAACACTTCTAATATGGTACGCATCTAGCAAACATGTACCACAATTCAATTTTGCTATATAAATGTGTGTAGCACTCTATATATCCCTTTTGTTGCATGATTTCTTTTAGGGAGAATTACACCCAGACATCTTGAAGTTTATCACTTAATCACTTAGACCCTGACATTTGAAATATTACACATACACCCTCTGAAATTTGTACGTGCATAACATTTAAGTCCCTGATAAAAATATATTCGTTAATAAAATTATATTTAGATAATTCCTAAGTTTGTAAACATTATACATTATTACTTAGACCCCTTAAATTTAAAATGTTATACTTAGACCAAAAATAATTCAATCAAAGATAAAATATCAAATATTTTAATTTTAAATTTTACAATTAAAATTAATGTTTTATTGTATCTTTTAATGAAATAAAATCAAAAATAAAAATTCAATTTTTTCTTAAAAAATCGTAATTATTATACAATTATATTGTCTATTAGAATTTAATTTGGTCGTTTAAACGACCAAATTAAAATATCAAACTACTCCGATTAAAGATAAAAGATATTGTGTTCATTACAGTTTGACCCTTTGTTTAATTTTTAATTTTATTGTAATAGATAGTATAATTATATACTAACTATGATTTTAAAAAAAAAAATTAGATTTTTATTTTTAATTTTATTTCAATAAGTGACATAATAGAAGAATATGAATTTTAGATGTAAAATTTATGTTCTATTATGAATGACTTGGACCCCTTATTTAATTTTTAATTTTTTTCAATAGATATTAAAATTGTATACTAATTATGATTTTTTAAGAAAAAATTTTTATTTTTAATTTTATTTTAATAAATTAAACAATAGAACATAAATATTGTTTGTAAATTTAAAATAATTGATATTCTATCTTTGATTAGAATATTTTTTATCTAAATATAATATTTTAAATTTAAAGAATCTAAGTATTATATACTTATAAACTTCTAGAGGAGTCTAAGTGTAATATATTAACAAATATATTTTACAAACATGAGTCTATGTGTTATGTGTGTATAAATTTCAGATGGATCTTTGTGTAATATTTCAAATGTCTGGGGTCTGAGTGATTAAATGACAAACCTTAAAGAGTTGAATTCAATTCTCCATTTCTTTTATGAGCCAAGTAGCCATTATGACACTAGCACCATTTTGTTTTACGAAATAAATAAAAAACCATGAAAAACAAAAATGTATATTTTTATCGTGCCAGACTTTAAATCATAGATGAATATGAGCACCTACTGACGTCCACATAATACAAAATACAAAATTACTTTATGCTTGGATATCAAATACATAAACAAATCTCATTTTGCATGCGTACACTGAGCTAGTGTTCCCTCTGCACATCGGTTACCGGAGTAGGTTTTCAAGAGGTACAAAAGGAGATTGGTGAGAAAAGGGAGACATGCTTGAGAAAAAAGTGACTAGGCATTCATTAGCTTCAGCAATTTGAAAACATATATGGGAATGCAGACTTTTGGGGGGTGTTAAGCAAATTCAAAATGCCTTTCACACCACCCTTGCATAATAAATCCTCAGAAGTTGAGGTCTTGTGGCACTAATTACATGGATGTACGGCATATGAAAATGTATGACAGTGCACCGGAACACAGGCTGTCAACTTAATCATGCATAAACCATGGATTTGAGCACAAGCAGAGTTTAATACAGCGTTAACTCAAGGGATGGGATATACTCTCATATTACAAATAAAATGTAGTAAACCTAGTAGTATATAGAAACTACAGCTCCAAATCTTCTATAGACCACAACAGCATAGAAAGAAAAGGTACGATTAGTGCATCCCAGTTACAAGAATTCCACTTTGTTTCAGTTATGTGAAGCAAAAACAATTATTTGCAGGGTATGTGTTCAAACAAAAAACACTGTTACTTGAAGATGAGGCCAAGCATTGCTAGCAAATATTCAACTGGAAGTAAAAAATACCCATGGATGAAACATTCACACCATGAGCTGAATGAAGAGAAATACATATATTAAAGTTAGGGTATAAGTTACCCTGAAGAAGGCGAAGAAGCATTAGCATGCTTGCATTGATGGTTGGGGGAAGCATAGGCCCCATCACAGCTCCAGGATTCACCACAACCACATCCAAACCTTTTTCCTTCGCAAATTCCCAGGCAGCTTTCTCGGCTAATGTTTTAGAAAGCGAGTACCATAACTAGTCCATGACAAATACAAGTTATCAAAAGCTAAAAACACAATTATTCTCAAGGCTTAAGGTAAAAACAAAGATAAGTGGAAAAGGAAAAGCACACAAACTTTACACAGAGACTGGAGTTTAAGAGCATATCTCAATACCACATAAAGCTTTTATTATGAAGATTCAAGCATCATCAGAAATTTAGATTTGGAATTACATGGTTCTGCCCAATCAATAGAAAAAAGAAAGTGAAATGAAATCAGTTTACCTGCATTAGATGAGTTTGCTTGCCACAGAACACAGCTAACCCACCATCAATTTTTTTTCCCTTTCTTGGCAAGTAAAACATTAATGAAGAGGCATGAACGAGGGGAGCAGGGCACGGCACATATACACACTATGTGTACAAACGTAGTACCAGAACATATCTACAAAAAGCTACAAGCTAGACTCTAATGAAACTTCTAAGAAGAAATCTAAAAACGAACAAAACAACAGACCCCATATACACCTCATTGGACTAGAAGTAAAGGACACTCAACATAAAAAAATTAAACTTGTGCATAGGGAGCTCAATTATTTCCTAAAGAGACTTCAACAAGTATATGGTAGAAAAATCATTTCTGACAAACTTCTCCGATTACACGAATTGTTATTAAAAAAGTTAAATGAAACACAAACTACTATAGATAACACGTGATTTCATCACAAAAAAAATACTACAATTTAAAACAAGTACAAGATTTCATCAGATTTTAATCAATAACTAATTCTTTCAGGAATGAAAAGAAATCAATTATTAAATTTGACGACTTGAGTATTTGTAATAACCTAAGTTCAGAATGACCTACAATGGTGAAATAATAATAACAATAATTAATCTCCTTTCGCAATAATGATAGTAATTAAGGAAAATGTTTTTTGAACCTTATTTAGAGACTTAAGGATGCGATTTCAATGCAACCATTAGATTAGTTGTGAGTTTCAATGGTAGATGGAACCCACAACTAATCCAATGCAACCATTGGATTAGTTGTGAGTTCCAATGTTAGACAGAACTCACATCCAATCCAATGGTTGTGCATCATTAAGTCCCTAAATAAGGTGTCTAAATAAGATCTATGTAGCATTGCTCAATAATTAATGTCCATCTATATAATAAAACACATAGGAGTTTGAAAGTTTAAACCCTATACATTTTCTCCCCTAAAAATATCACATCATACAATTCTATCATATGTTCAATCATTTAACATTTGATTAATTTATAATTTAACACAATTTTTATTTTATACATTGTCCATACATGATAGTATACATGTGTTGAAAACATTTTGTCGAGTTATATATTTTGAGAAAATTTGAAAGCTATTTTTAAAAATTTTGAGAAAATTTGAAAGCTATTTTACAAAAAATAATACAAAAAAATTAATTTTAAATGATGTAATGAAATAAATGAAGAAATAAAAAATTGTTATTTGGTACAGTGGGGTTTCATCGTGTCTCATGCACAGGTTATAATTAGTTAATCAATAAGATGGACTATAATAAACATATGACGCATTACAACAAGAAGAACGACGAATAAAATCATAGAGTCAAAGTGCAAAAAGGAGAGGTTCCCACCTTATTATGCTTGCAATATTCAACATCGGTCCAGCAATCCTCATTCTTGACAACATCAGCTGGCCAATAACGACTTGGAGTGATGGCCGATATAGATGAGGTCACGACCACACGCCGAACCCCTAGCTCCTTTGCCGCCGTGAGAACGTTGTTTGTCCCCTTAATCGCCGGAGCTAATAGCTCATTCTGTCAATCAACAACCAAATATACATGCTTAAACAATGATTAAGTAAAGAAAAGGAGAGGATTAGTTTGTGAGTATGTTGATTATATGTTTGACCTCAGGATCTCGAACTTCATCGACAATGCAAGGAGAAGCGAGGTGGAAGACGCCGGCGGTTCCATTGACGGCGGCAACAATGGAGTCGTAGTCGAGAAGATCGATCTGAAAGAGGCGGAGAAGCGAGTTCGCTCCTTCCAAGGCTTCTAGATGCTTTGTCTCTTTCTCATCATCTAAATCAGAACAAAATTTACAGAAATTGAGATTATAGACGAGCAAAAACCCTAATAAAGAAACTCCAAGAAGTTGATGAAAACGAAGATATGTGAGTGTGCGCGTACTTAGATCTTTGACGGTGGCATGGACTGTGTAGCCGCGTTCGAGGAGAAAACGGACCAGCCACGAACCAATATAGCCACTCCCTCCCGTTACACATACCGCCTCTCCTTCCTTTGCCATTTCCTCTCTCTCTCTCTGTCTCTCACTCCCCAGTGCCCGGTTTCACCTCTAAAACCACGGTTAATCAAAAGTGGTGACGACTCATTTAGTCATTTTTCTTTTAATTGCCCCCAATTTATCTTCTAAATTATATAATTTATTTCAATTAATTTTTTAAATAAATTTGGTTAAGATTAATTATTTGGGTTTTAAAATTGTGACTTTTCAAAAGAGTAAGGCGAAAGATTACCTTTCAATTTTTTTCTAAACCCTTAGGGTTTAAAAATTTTAAATAATTCCTCAAATAATAGTGCAATAGACTGAATTGTAAAAAAAAAAAACTGAAATACAAAGTAATAAATAAATAGTTTGGAATATGAAATGAATACCATACTTAACATTAAATAAAAATCAATTTAATCAAATTTGAGAACCAAATTAAGAGTCCAAATGATATGACAATATATTACTTGAAGTCTTTATTATGGCCCAAATGACATTTTACCAAATAAAAAAAGAATTCTTTGGAAGCTGATACACCTTATTAGACTTATTTGGTAAAAAGTACATAAAACAAAATGTGAGTTAAAAAGACATAAATGCTCATTTTTGAGTCATTTAATTCAAAATCTCTTATTTTTAATTCGCATTGATTCATGTGTGTTTGTTAATACATATAAATACGTATTTAATGCACCTTAATTCATGTGTATTTGTTAATATATGTAATATATATATATATATATATATATATATATATATATATATATATATATATATATATACGTGTATACTTGTTTTATATATATATAAATATATATACTTATTTATATATATATATATACACACACACACACATATATATATTTGTTGTTAAATCTCTTATTTAAATTTTGAATTATCTTTAATGTACTTTGATTTATGCGTATTTTTTTTTAAAATGATTTTGTTTACAAATTATATTTAATGCACCTTGATTCAAGTGTTTTTTTTTTTGGGAAAATAGTTTTATGTTCAAATTAATTTAATATCTGAATAATATAATAATATAACAATAACAATGTAATAAAGACAGTGTAACAAAAACAGTGTTTAGTAGTTTTGTGTATATGACAACGAATTCAAAACGAAGATGAACTATTTTAAATGAAATTATATGAAACTATATGTTTGACAAAATGTAATAGTAGAATATTTTGTGTAAATAGCTTGTTACACTATTATTGTTATACTGTTACCTTGTTAGTGTTACACTTTTATTGTTACACTATTATTGTTACACTGTTATTGTTACACTATTACACTATTCAGATATTAAATTAATTTAAACATAAAACAACTTTTTTAAAAAAATGCATGAATCAAGGTGCATTAAAAGATAATTCAAAATTTAGATAAGATATTTAACAACAAGTATATACATACATACATACATACATAAGTATATACATACATACATACATACATAAGTATATACATACATACATAAGTATATATATATATATATATATATATTAAATTTTTTCCATAAAACTAGGAGATATTTAATGCATCACTTTCCAAAGAAAAAATGGTGCATTAAATACACATAGATTAATGGAGTGTAAAAATGTCACAATAAAAATAGATAAATTTAAATTATTTACTTGGATATAAATAAGTATCAAAATTAAGTACTTAATAACCTTATATTTTTTAGTGTGTACTTTTTGACAAATAAATTTAATTTGGTGTACCCCTTTATAATTTACCCATAAAAAAATTCAAGTCAGCTGCTATATTATTTGGACTCTTGATTTATCTTAAACTTTGATCAGTGTAACATTATTAAATAAAAATAATAAAAATTATGATGAATTAGAGAGTTTAGTTTAATTCTCCCTTTCTTTTACGAGCCAAGTAGTCATTATGACACTAGCACCATTTTGTTTCAGGAAATAAATAAAAAAACATGAAAAACAACAATTATATTTTGTTGTGCCTGACTTTAAACCATAGATGAATATGAGCACGTACTGACGTCCACATAATACAAAATTACTTTATGCTTGGATATCAAATACATAAACAAATCTCATTTTGCATGCGTACATTGAGCTAGTGTCCCCTCTGCACATCGGTTACTGGAGTAGGTTTTCAAGAGGTACAAAAGGAGATTGGTGAGAAAAGGGAAACATGCTTGGGAAAAAGGTCACTAGGTATTTATTATCTTCAGCAATTTGAAAATCTATATGGGAATGCAGATTTGTTGGGGTGTGAAGTAAATTCAAAATGCCTTTCACACCACCCTTGCATAATAAATCCTCAGAAGTTCAGGTCTTGTGGCATTAATTACATGGATGTACGGCATAAGAAAATATATGACAGTGCACCGGAACAGAGGCAGTCAACTTAATCGTGCACAAACCATGGATGAGATATCTATATAATAAAATAGGGGTGTGTTTGAATTTTATTTTAGTCATATTTTTTTTTAAAACTATCACCAATCACTTATCTCATATATCATCCATTTATCAGACTCAAACGTCAAATCACATATCTCATTTCTATTATATATTTAATCATTTATATATTTCCTTCTTAAAAATATCACACCACTCATTTCTATTATATATTTAATTTTAATATTTAATTAATATATATTTTAAAAAATTTAATATAATGGAATCGATTTTTTAGACGCTCGTATTTTATATTGTATCGTGCCTTCAGACACGAGTTATGACTAGTAATCTCCTATTACAAATAAAATGTAGTAAACCTAGTAGTATAAAGAAATGACAGCTCCAAATCTTCTATAGACCTCAATATATCTAATTTTATAACTCGTCTGTACTATCACTTAAACCATCCATAAGATTGTAATACAAACACTTTAAAATATACAAAGTATGAACAATTTAAGAAAAATTCATTCACGTTCATTCATTTATCAAAGGGACAAAAATTCAAGCTTAATCTTACAACCAATAATTGAGCCGGCCGAAGAATGGTTTGTTCAAATCATCAAAGCTTGTAGTTATAAGCATATAAATAGCATATTAGGTATACATAAATATATAATATTTGTATAAACAACCCGCACTAAATCTTAAATTAAACACAAGTTTAAGCTTGAAAACAAGAGATGAATTGAATCGAAACAAAAAATTAAATGTTTGAAACTCATAACAAAAACCGTCATTCAATTCATTTGTATTTTAACCACAATCTCTCTTGGCCGAGATTATGAGGCGTAATTGTACAGTTGGTAAGCATAATTCATTGACACTATATATGCTGCAAAGTCAAAACAATTTCCTAGTAGTAGGGGTCTCTACAGTCTGATTGGATAAGCAGATTCATTTAGGATATAAAGTTTTTGATCTTCAAACTCTCAACAGACTCCTTGATGATTTGCTCCATGGGAATGAATTGTAGACCCAAGTCCATCAACTTCTTGGATGCATTCTTCGACCTTAGTAATCCGGGTTGGGTATCCTTAGGCAACCTACAAAGAAGAGCATTATATAGATTGAGAAACCTTCTATCTTGCAATTTTAGTTTTCTTTCTGTGTAAATCCAGAAACTGGATGAAACCCAATAGGCATTTTTAAACTACACCAAAACGAACAAACAATGAGAAGAGAGACCGCAAGACTCACAAACTAGGTTAGATAGTTTTGATATATAAATATGGAACACAGTCCTCACTCACATAGAGAAGTAGATAGAAGATCAAGAAGACATCATCCGAATATAACAAGATGCATTTTTAGGTGAACCAATTAGGGAAGTAACGTCATTCAAACAAAGAGTCTGACCTTAAACCTCTTGGAACGGGACTCTAATACCATGTTAAAGCACAAAACTCAAAACTAATAGACAATGAGTAGAGAGACCCACAAAGCTCATAATATACTAGTTTGGGAGTTATTACATCGATATGAAGCAAGCTGAAATAATCCGACTAGTGAGACTGACCCCAGATTGTGCCTTGGGGTGGACAGCTTTTTGAACACTTGGACAGTAATAGAAATTAAGATAGCCATCAAGAAGGATTCAAAAACTGTGAAGGTATGTTTACCCAGGAAGAATATTTTACATCCACTATGGCATTGATGACAAAGGGGCTAGCCACCCTCACTCTTTAGTTCTAAAGTTGCAGGGAGAAAGGACAGATAATGTGATTTATTCCCACATTCACCTCCTTTGCTGCTGAAGCTTCCCACGAAAGAGGAAATAGAAGTTCTAGATCCACCAAATCTAGTTCCCAGTTATGCACGAGAATACTTATTCCATGAGAAGAGGTTATCAGTCATACAGGAAACACTTTGTTTCAGATCTGTAGCAAGATTTTTCTTCCCCCTGACATCCCCGAAAAGGAAGAAACATAAATAAAGACTTGGGGGTTTTGGTGGGGGAGATGGTCAAATATGCTCTGTCTAAGTATAACAAAGCTTAAAGCTTCCCCCACAACACACACACACACACACACACACACTTCTCCGAGAAAATAGTCAATTAAACCTTATGACAAAGTCACACACATTGGGATCACTTTCCTGGTCATAGTGTACATCATGGTTCCTGCTGTAAAAACATACTTTTCAAACACATGCATGGAAAACACGTTACCTGGGCAGATTATATTCAGGGTAAAGTTCTGCAACCTTGGCAGCAAAGTCACCATAATGAGAGATAGCTTCAACACACAGGTGCCTTCCAGTTGCTGATGTGTTCTCATACAACAATATGTGTGCTAGGGCAACATCTTTAACATGAACAGATCCCATAAAGAAGTCTTCATAAATGTCGGTGCAGCCTGCAGCCAAGGCAAATGTCAATACAGGTTTCATGGTTAGGAAACAAACCTTGGACCATTTAATTGATAAACTTAACCTTATTTTTGTGGCAACCGAAAACAGAGGATAAATATGAATTTGAATTACTGAGCATCTCCAGGCTGCCTTTATGGGAGTTTAGGCAATGAAGAGGTTGAGAGTAGAGTGGCAAGGGTGCAAAGCACAACAGGAAAACCTATTTGAGGCAAGAAGCTTACACTTGGTAAAAGTAATTTTATAGGCACTTCCTTCAGCATGGGGTATTGAATATGCGTCCAACACTTCTAATATGATACGCATCTAGCAAACATGTAACACAACTCAATTTTGCTATGTAATTGTGTATAGCACTCTCTATATGTCCCTTTTGTCGCATGATTTCTTTTATGAGCCAATTAGCAATTATGACACTAGCACCATTTTGTTTCAGGAAATGAATAAAAAAACATGAAAAACAAAACTGTATAATTTGTCGTGCCCAACTTTAAACCACAGATAAATAAGAGCACGTACTGACGTCCACATAATACAAAATTACTTTATGCTTGGATATCAATACATAAACAAATCTCATTTTGCATGCGTACACTGAGCTAGTGTTCCCTCTGCACACCGGTTACCGGAGTAGGTTTTCAAGAGGTACAAAAGGAGATTAGTGAGAAAAGGGGGACATGCTTGGGAAAAAGGTGACTAGGCATTCATTGTCAAGCAGAGTTTAATACAGCGTTAACTGAAGGGATGGGATATACTCTCCTATTACAAATAAAATGTAGTAAACCTGGTAGTATATAGAAACTACAGCTCCAAATCTTCTATAGACCTCAACAGCATAGAAAGAAAAGGTATGATTCTTTGTCTCAGTTATGTGAAGCAAAAACAATTATTTGCAGGGTATGTCTTCAAACAAAAAACACTGTTACTTGAAGATGAAGCCAAGCATTGCTAACAAATATGCAACTGGAAGTAAAAAATACCCATGGATGAAACATTCACACCATGAGCTGAATGAAGAGAAATACATATATTAAAGTTAGGGTATAAGTTACCCTGAAGAAGGCGAAGAAGCATTAGCATGCTTGCATTGATGGTTGGGGGAAGCATAGGCCCCATCACAGTTCCAGGATTCACCACAACCACATCCAAACCTTTTTCCTTTGCAAATTCCCAGGCAGCTTTTTCGGCTAATGTTTTAGAAACCGGGTACCATACCTAGTCCATGACAAATACAAGTTGTCAAAAGCTAAAAACACAATTATTCTTAATGCTTAAGGTATAAAGAAAGATAAGTGGAAAAGGAAAAGCACACAAACATTACACAGAGACTCGAGTTTAAGAGCATATCTCTATACCACATAAAGCTTTTATTATGAAGATTCAAGCATCACTAGAAAGTTAGATTTGGGATTACATGGTTCTGCCCAATCAATAGAAAAAAGAAAGTGAATGTGAAACCAGTTTACCTGCATTAGATGTGTTTGCTTGCCACAGAACACAGCTAACCCCACCATCAATTTTTTTTTCCTTTCTTGGCAAGTGAAACATTAATGAAGAGGCACCAACACGGGAAGCAGGGCACGGCACATATACACACTATGTGTACAAACGTAGTACCACAACAGAACTACAATAAGCTACAAGCTAGACTCTAATGAAACTTCTCAGAAGAAATCTAAAAACAAAAAAAACAACAGACCCCAAATACACCTCATTGAACTAGAATTAAAGGACACCCAACATAAAAAAATTGAACTTGTGCAAAGGGAGCTCAATTATTTCCTAAAGAGCCTTCAACAAGTATATGGTAGAAAAAAACCATTTCTGACAAACTCGCCGATCACACGAATTGTTATTAGAAAAGTTAAATGAAACACAAACTATTATAGATAACACGTGATCTCAACACAAAAAAATACTACAATTTAAAAGAAGTACAAGATTTCATCAGATTTTAATCAATAACTAATTCTTCCAGGAATGAAAAGAAAATCAATTATTAAATTTGACAACTTGAGTATTTGTAATAACCTAAGTTCAGAATGGCTTACAATGGTGAAATAATAATGACAATAATTAATCTCCTTTCGCAATAATGATAGTAATTAATGTCCATTAATCAATAAGATTGACTATAATAAACATATGACGCATTACAACAAGAAGAACGACGAATAAAATCATAGAGTCAAAGTGCAAAAAAGGAGAGGTTCCCACATTATTATGCTTGCAATATTCAACATCGGTCCAGCAATCCTCATTCTTGACAACATCAGCTGGCCAATAACGACTTGGAGTGATGGCCGATATAGATGAGGTCACGACCACACGCCGAACCCCTAGCTCCTTTGCCGCCGTGAGAACGTTGTTTGTCCCCTTAATCGCCGGAGCTAATAGCTCATTCTGTCAATCAACAACCAAATGTACATGCTTAAACAATGATTAAGTAAAGAAAAGGAGAGGATTAGTTTGTGAGTATGTTGATTATATGTTTGACCTCAGGATCTCGAACTTCATCGACAATGCAAGGAGAAGCGAGGTGGAAGACGCCGGCGGTTCCATTGACGGCGGCAACAATGGAGTCGTAGTCGAGAAGATCGATCTGAAAGAGGCGGAGAAGCGAGTTCGCTCCTTCCAAGGCTTCTAGATGTTTTGTCTCTTTCTCATCATCTAAATCAGAACAAAATTTACTGAAATTGAGATTACAGACGAGCAAAAACCCTAATAAAGAAACTCCAAGAAGTTGATGAAAACGAAGATTTGTGAGTGTGCGCGTACTTAGATCTTTGACGGTGGCATGGACTGTGTAGCCTCGTTCGAGGAGAAAACGGACCAACCACGAACCAATATAGCCACTCCCTCCCGTTACACATACCGCCTCTCCTTCCTTTGCCATTTCCTGTCTGTCTGTCTCTCACTCACTCACTCCCTAGTGCCCGGTCTGACCTCTAAAACCATGATTATTGCCATAATATTTATAAAATATTAGTTAAGCAAACTTTATAAGATTAATTATATATATAAAATATTAGTTATATAAACTTTATATCACTGTGACTTGATAATACATTCTTCATTTTTCATTCTATTTGACAAAATCAACTAAAATTATAATAAAACATGAAAAAAATTTGCTAACTTTTAGGCGATAAACATTAGAGCTTTCGACCCATCCATGCTTGTAGGTTTCTTAGAACCTATTACTTTCACAACCCTCATTTTGACCAAAACCTCAACCCATATTTCTACTTCTCTTCTCTTTACCTCTGTTATTTCTGTCTACTCCCCTTCTTTCCTGAATACTAACACTACACTTACGCAGCACTGTTACGCAGCACTGTTTCTTCAATCGAAAATGTAACACTTATCCCCCACAGGACATCAACCTCAAAGGCCCTCACAAACCCACCAAACTGCACCAACCTCTGGTCCTATTATTCATCTACATTCTCACAAGCCAACCGCAGAATTTGTAAAACTGTTCTGTCTCATTGGGAAATGTTTCTCAAACAAACCATTCAATCAAAATGTGGTTAAGACTATTCTGATGAAGGTTGTTGTAAAAATTTCAGTTCAAGAATACTACAAATTAGATGATAAACAAGAAATAGAAAAATTTATCAATAGAGACGTGAAGTCACTGTCTTAAGAATATATTTTTGACCCTCTGAGTACAAAACTCAGTGCGACAGGTTATGACATCCTATCCTCTAGTATTCAACTATTGCTTCTCCGTAAGCGTACACTCACAAATTTAGAGGTGTCTCGAACAACTCTTGATCGTTCCCAAATGAATACCAAGATCTCAAGTAATAGTATATTTGAAAGTATATCAAAATTTGGTTCTACTAATTTGATAAACTACTCAAGGAAATCTAATGCGAATGAAAACCGACTACACAAGAAAACCCACCCGATAGTAGGCTTTCTTCTATTTTTTCTCACTTTACTTTTTGTATTTTTCCCTATTTGCTTTCTGTATTTTTCCTTTCCGTACAGTAATTTTACTTAAGTCTGAAGAGTAGACTTTATATAGTGTTTGAATAGTTACAAAACAAGGGATGCATTGGTTGGCATCTAACGGTCAATTGCAAATCTCAACGGTTAATAACCAATGATCAATACCTTTAAAAATTCATTTTCCATTTAATATAATTAATTAATACAATATAAGTAATAAAACAAATAGTCATAACCTGTCCAATAAGTCTAAAAAATAATTTTTAAATATATATATATTTTGACTTATATTTCTATACACATATATATGTTAGAAACAAATAAATATGTATTATATTTTGAAATATATATTAAATACAACAATCCCCCATATATTTCAAAATATAACGTATATATAAAACAACAACAACTTTGATTTGGGAACACGAGCATCTAATGTATTGTGGTGGTGTCTTTTGGACTATGAACCATCACTTAGGGAATATAAGGCAAAACTTACAGAAATCTAGTGAAATATAAAATTTCTATGAACTAGATTTCTTTAGTGTAAACTGACTACACTCATCACCCACATTAAACCCTCTAATCTGAGTTTGTTCATCGCGGGTTGGTGCGAATAGGCCATGCACCTTACCTGGAAATTCATAGATGCTCTAGAAAAACCTGCCCAAGCATTCATAGGAAGCAGTCCCACTCCCACATCTATATAGGTGAATCCATCAAGTGTATGCTACAACTCGATACATTACCTAATCTAGGCTATGGATCCATTAAGAGATAAACTCAACCTTATACATTGCAGTATATTCACTATCTACATCATAAAGATGGGTTTTACATATTAATTAAATTATGATAGTGTCACAAATTATCCAATGACTTGTTATTACCCATATGAACTTATTTCTTGGGATCTCCATTCCTGTAAGTTGGGTTACCATCACTTGTGATTTATGTATAGGCATAAGTCTCATCCCCCTTGATGCCTCACTCACTAGTTTTCTTCCTAGTGGTTTTGTCAAAGGATCAGCCAAATTCATCTTTGACCTCACAAAGTCTAGGGATATTATCCCATCATTAAGCAGTTGCCTCACAATATTATGCTTTGAGCGCATATGCCTATTTTTACCATTATAGATTTTATTCTTTGCCCTTGCTATTGCAGCTTGGCAATCACAATGCATAGACACAGATGAAATTGGCATCATCCATAAAGGGATATCCGCTAAGACGTTTCTTAACCACTCAACTTTAGTGCCAGCCTTCTCTAAGGTAATAACCTCGGACTCCATAGTAGGCCGAGTTGCACACGTCTGCTTGGAAGATTTCCAAGACACTGCACTCACACCAAGGGTGAATACATAACCACTTGTGGATCTCGTCTCATATGAATCAGAAATCCAGTTAGCATCGCTATACCCTTCTAATACAGTAGGAAATCCAGTATATGATAAACCATAATTAACAGTTCCTTTCAAGTATTTCAATAATCTAGATATAGTATTTCAATGTTCTTTATTGGGGTTATGTGTATATCTACTTAACCTACCAATAGCATATGCAATATCAGGACGTACACAATTCATAAGATACATTAAACTTTCAATTATTTGTGCATAATTATTTTGACACATAGGATCACCTTTATTTTTCTTTAGTTTAACGCTAGCATCATAAGGTGTAGAAATAGGCTTATGATCAAAATGATTAAACTTTCTAAGTATCTTATCCACATGGTGTTCTTGAGATAACATCAAACTATTTGGAGTTCTCAAAATTTTAATTCCTAAAATTACATCTGCCTCCCCTATATCTTTCATGTCAAACTTAGACATTAAGAACTTTTTAGTATTGATAACAACCTCTAGACTTGTACCCATTATAAGCATATCATCAACATATAAGCAAATTATAACACCAGAATTATCACAAAACTTACAATATACACATCTGTCAACGTCATTAATTTTGAAACCATTTGACACTACCACATTATCACATTATCAAATTTCTCATGTCATTGTTTCGGTGCTTGTTTTAAACCATATAATGATTTAATCAATTTACATACCATATGCTTTTTACTTCGTACAATAGATCCTTCGGGTTGTTTCATGTATATTTCTTCCTCCAAGTCTCCATTCAAGAATGCCGTTTTCACATCCATTTGATGAATTACTAATTTATATATAGAAGCTATAGCAATCAAAACCCTAATAGATGCTATTCTTGTAACTAGTGAATAAGTATCAAAATAATCAACATCTTTCTTTTGTTTATAACCTTTGGCTACTAGTCGGGCTTTGTATTTATCAACTGTGCTATGAATTTTCAATTTTCTTTTAAAAATCCATTTGCACCCAATAGGATTTGCACTAGGAGGTAACTCTACTAATCCCAAGTATGATTAGACATAATGGAATCTAACTCATCTTTAATTTCTTCTTTCCAAAAAGGAGCATCTTTGGACTTAATAGCTTCCTCATATGTTTGTGGGTCATTATCAATTAGAAATGTGAAAAATCCATCTCCTAAGTTAGTCTCCTTTCTTACTCTTGTCCTCTTTCTTGGTTCAAGTACTTCTTCCCTAGATGTATCATATTTGGGTTCATTACTAACACCAATTATTTTACTCTCATTTGATATCTTATTTTTCATAGGAAAAATATTCTCAAAGAATATAGTATTTTTTGCCTCAATGATCATAGGAAAAATATTCTCAAAGAATATAGTATTTTTTGCCTCAATGATTGTGTTATGTTCTAAAATGTTATGCTCGCTTCTTATCACTAGAAACCTATAAGAAGTACTATTAATTGAATAACCTATAAAAACACAATCTGAAGTTTTAGAACCTAATTTTCTCTTCTTTGGTTCCAGTAACAAAACTTTTGCTAAACAACCCCACACTTTTAAGTATTTTAAGGATGGTGGATTCCCTACCCAAAGTTCATAAGGAGTTTTTTCTATTTTCTTATGTGGAATTCTATTTTGAATATGACATGCCGTAGAATAGCTTTTCCCCATAAATTATTCGGCAGTCCCAAACTTATTAACATAGAATTCATCATTTCTTTTAAAGTTATATTTTTCCTTTCGGGTACACTATTAGATTCGGGTGAGTAGGGAGGAGTAACTTCATGTATAATACCATGTTGCTCACAATAGTCATAAAAGAATTATATTCATATTCTCCTCCCCTATCAGTCCTCAACCTTTTTATTTTTCTATTCAATTGATTTTCAACTTCTAGTTTATACTTGATAAATATTTCACTTGCTTCATCCTTATTTCTCTACAAGTATAATTTAGTATACCTTGAATAATCATCAATAAAAGTAACATAATATTTTTTTCACCTCTTGTCATGGTATTCTTAAGGTAAATCACTATGTATAAAGCCTTTCACTTAAGTCTAAAGAGTAGGCTTTATATAGTGTGACGCCCCTAAAATTGGGGGTCCCGTTGACCTCCTGTCAACCCGCGAAAACACTCGTGATTGTTGCATAACCCGACATCATGTTTATTACATCCCTGTAACTGAGATTACAACTCACACGAGGATCCGTGTTTACTTTAATCATTTAATCCCATCGAGATTCAATGTACCCCAATGTATCTCATTTAAGGTCCATTTATACCATTGGAGCCAAATGACTTATAACCCAAGAGCATGGTAATGCATTCTTAAAATTTTAGATTTTTGAAAAACCTTCTGGAAGGTTTTACTCACTGTAAAAGTTCTTCCAGAAGGTTTTATAGACCTTCAAAGGTTTTGTCTACTGGATAACAATTTACATTAACCTACCGGAAGATTTTTTTCAACCTTCTAGAAGGTTTTGCCTGCTGGACCAAAAGTTTGCATTAACCTTCAAGAAGGTTTTCCCCAAAATTTTGTGCCTCTTCAGTTTTTCATTTCCAATCCACCCAAAACCT